GGTTGGTTAGGTCATTAATTGTGGTTGATGCCATAAGTATTCACGGTCATAGAGAGCAAGTTGTGCTAGACTTTTTTATGCAATATAAGCGTGTGCAAGCTTGTTTCAATTCTGTTTCTACTTTATTTCTTATTCTATTTGATTGTGTGATTGCTTGATCATTGGTAAGGATCCGTTTTTAGAACCTTACAATTGGTATCAGAGCAAAACCAGTGTCAAAGCATCTTGCAATCAAGTTTTTGGCCGTATTCCTCACCATTTGAGATTGGAATTAGTGTTTTACAGCTAAAGGGAATCAAGTGTAATCCAAAAACGTGCTTTCTTGTGCTTCTAGGAGCTTACTGCCAAGAGATTATGGCAGCAAACTCTGTTTACAGCCGCAAACTCAAAAGTATTCTTGGACCGTAAACATTGTTCTTGGACTGTAAACCAAGCATATTCAATAATCGTAATCTAAGCCTCAAAAATCGTAAACTCTCGATCGTAAACTAAGTTTATGGCCGTAAACACCCAGACCGTAAGCTCTCGACCGTAAGCTCTCGACCGTAAACTGAGTTTACAGCCGTACACCTTACTTTGACCGTAAACTCAAGTGTTGATCGGAAACTCAATTTTGATAAGTTCTGTTTTAAATTTTTGCTTTTAAATTTTAATAATCAATGGTTTCTCAAAGCCAAACACATCATCATGAGCTGGATTCTGTCATGGGCACCACTACTCGCATTCCAAGACTGTTGTCTGTAGATGGTTTTCCTGAATGGAAATACCAGATTGAAAAATATATTAAAATGAAGGATTTCAAGATTTGGAAAAGCATCATCAAGAATCCTGTCAGAATAACAACCATTGTTGCAGGGCAAGTAGTTGACAAAGCAATTGAAAACTACACAGATGAAGATTTTGAGAAAGTGGAAGAACAGGAAAGGGCTTTGGCCACTCTAACCATGGCTTTATCTCCTTATATAGCTCAAGGGTTCAGAGAGGATACTTCAGCTAAGGCTTTGTGGGAAGCCCTGATTGAGGTATATGAAGGTAATGAAGACATGAAGGAAGCCGCCAGGATATGCTGCGTCAAAGGTTTAACATGTTCAACTATAGTCCTTGAGAAACCCTGGAGGCACAATTGCAGTGATTCACAACTCTCACCACTGAGATGAGTATAACCGAGATCTTCTTGACCAAGTCCAAAATAAATAAAAAGCTACTAGATGCTCTTTTAAAATCATGGGACATGAATGTAGTTGTCATTAAGAAGACCAAGGATCTAAATCGCCTTACTCTTGCTGAAATAATGGTGATCATCAAGGCTTGTGATATTGATGATAAACAGCGAGAGATTAACCATGTGAAATCGTATTGAACTGCAAATTTTGGGATTTCCTTTAACAATGTTGTTTCATCTCTTACTTTCCCTCTCCAGACCAATCTTTTGCTGCTCAACCTGCTCATACTCAACCTTTTTCCACTTCATCAGCTACTTCAATTCCTGCTACATCACCCATGCCTTTTCCTCAGAACCAATCGTTTATTGCTCCTCAAGTTACTCCTTCCTCAAATGTGGCTTCTTCTTCAAAATCTAAAGAAAGTGATGAAAATATTGCTCTCGCCACATGACTTGTTAACTGCTACAATGCTCTTGTAGCTGGAGATCTTCCACCATAATTGTCGTTTGTTGATCTGGATCAGATTCATCCAGAAGATGTGGAAGAAATGGATATTACATGGAAAATTGCCATGGTAGTGTTCAAGGAGAAGCAGTTTTCTAAGAAGACAGGGAAGAATAACTGGGGGATGAGCGCTGATAAAAAGGTGGGGTTTAGCAAGAGGAAGCTGCGTTGTTACAACTGTCACGAGCCAGGTCATTTTTCTCGTGAGTGCCTGAAGCCGGATAGAAGATTAAACACTGACCGGACAATGGTTGCAGTGGGAAACAATCGGGGAGGTGCTCAGGTCAACAGTGAGAAAGCTATGGTTGCTCAATCATTTGAACTAGAGGACCATATTCAGGCCCGAAACATTTCAAAAACTGAAAATGCTCACTTGGCCCAAGTTAAGGATGAAGCTTCCGTAAAGAGTGTTGATGCTGAAGAAAATATGACGGAGCTTCAGTTTGCGTTGATGGTATCTTCTACTTCTAAACCGAAGAAAAATGAGGTAAGTTTGTCTTCTTGTTCTCAAGCTTGTATTGATTACGTTAAAATTCTTCGTGAGGAAATAGAATCATTACGTAGAGAAGTAGAGGACCTTAGATATGAGGGCTATCAACTTAGAAAAAGATAAAAAAAAAAAACCCTTAAAAGCCCAATTAGAGACAAAAATAAAGGACTTTAAGAAACTTCAAGAAGACTACAATAATAAATGTGAAAACTATGATTATGTCAAGAGACAGACTTTTGAGTTAATTGCTAGATTGATACATTAAAAAATAAATTTGATACTGCAAACTTTGATTTTAAAATATATGATATATCAAGCGAGGTAGTTGCCAACATGATTGACCATTACCTACAGTTTAAACAAAACCAGAAAAAGGGTTTTGGATATGATAAAGTGCCTCCTCCTTTCAATCACAATTATTAGTATCGCCTTGTCTCTAATGAGGAGGTTGCCAATGAATCTTTCATGGTTTATGGAAAACCAACAGGTTTTGTTTCAGGAGGAGTTATTTATGTTGAAAATACTAACGTTTCTACTTCTCTTGCAGATCAATCCTTAAATCAGTCAAAGCACGAAGTTGAAGGATATGTTTCTGATAATAAAACTGAGTCTGAACCTGAAGTTTTAGTTTCCATTAAAGAATTTTTTTTCCAGATGTTAAAAGTGACAATATTTTTTGTGATTTTTCTGCACATGTTGATACTGGTTTGAATTGTTTTGAAGTCTTTGATGAGATTTTTGATAATGCTGATGCTTGTAATGATTCTAATAAAAACTCACCGTTTCCACAAGTCACTCCATCTGATACACCCTCACTTATCTCACAACCTGCTTCTTGTTCATGTTCATGTGAGAAAAGTAAGGGTGTCAGTATGGAAAATAAATCTGAAAAAGGCAGTACATGTTTTAATAATAACAAACAGATTTGTTTTAGTTGTGGTATTGGTGGTCATATAGCTAGGAATTGTCCAAATATAATGTTTGTACATTATACGTCACAAAGAGGAGAGAACAAATTTAGAGGAAGGTCTTTAACTAGAATGTCCTCTAGAGTTCGGTCTCGGAATGAGGATTGGAATGATGATCATAGTAGAAAAGGGTAGTTTTTCAAATTAATAAAAAGGTTTTTCATAACAAAGTCCAAAGCAGTTTGCCAAAACCGAACACGGCTCCGCCAAGATCGGTTTCGTCAAGGAGCAACTCTAGGTCTTCAACCACTTCTGGTAGACAACCCAAGTGCTCAATGAAAACTTATAAGAAACCTATTTCAAAACCATCGATGACTGTTAGGAAACCTAATTACCAATGGATGCCCAAAATAAATTCCAATCCATCATCAACATCCTCTGAAAAAGTTAGTCATTAATGATAAATCTGAGAAAGTGAAGGGTCAACTCGGCAAAGTGATGACCTGTGTTTCCAAATCTAAACGATCCCACACATTTTGCAGGGACAGTTGCAGAGGAATGTCGTCAGACCTTGGTTCGTCGACAACGGCTGTTCCCGGCATATGACATGAGTTATCTCCCAATTGAACAACATTCAATCTTTTAATGGGGGGGGGGGGGGGGAGGGGGGGTATGTTTCCTTTGCGGGTGGAAAAGGTGGCAAGATCACTCAGAGAGGAACCATTACAAATGGAGTGTTAAGTTTCGGGAATGTCAACTTTCCTCCCGAGTTAAAGCATAGTTTGTTGAGTGTGTCTCAGATATGCGACAAAGGTTATTCTATACATTTCACTGACAAGGAGTGTATGATTCTCAAGCCAGGCATTGTCATTCCGGAAGAGTGGATTCTCGTCAAATCTAAGCGGAATGGAAATGCTTACATTATTAATATGAATAGCAACATTCATGAGCAAGTCACTTGCCTCTTTTCGAAGGTCTCAGAACAAAACGCAATGTTGTGGCACCGAAGACTCGGTTATGCTAACGCCAAAAACCAAATTCGTCTTGCAAAGAATGAGATGGTCCGTGGTTTACCTGTCAGGTAGTTTTTTAACTTTTGAGAAGTGTGTGTCATGTGCCCAGGATAAACATCGTAGAAAATTAGACCCGCACTACTAGAAAAACAGCCTTTTACGACGTGCAATTAATGACACACACTGATAGAGGACGCGCATGTGGGCGTACCTTAAAAAGTAATGTCAGTTTTCCAAAATTTGAAGGATAGAAGACACGTATTTTTACCCGCCCTAAAATTAGTGTCCGAAAAGAAAAACACGGAGGGCACCTATCATATGGAGTGTGTCGTGTAAGGGTGTCGTTTTATATTTTTTAGGAAGCGCGTTCTCCATTTTTTTAATAGACTACGGGGGGAATGAAATCCCAAAAAAATTAAACACCCCGCCTCTTTTTCTCCTTCTAAAATCCTCTACCAAATTAAGAACCCTAAAATAGACTAAACACATTTTCGATCATTCCTCTTCGATCAACCTAAGCGATCGAACATACCAACAACTTATCCCCTACTAATACTCTCCTCTTCCTATTCATTCTCCAAATTTGATTTCTCTCTTCCTCCCTCAAATCCCCCAAATCAGTGATGTCTTGTAATCTTATTCCTCCCTAAAATCGACGTACGTTATATAATTGGAGCAATTTTTCTTAATGCATCAAATTATCGTATAGTTAGAACAGTCAATCTCGGCTTCTTCTTCTCGTCAAACAGGTATTATTCATCTCATATTTCTGGCATTAGGGCTCTTTGGTTGGCGTCATTCTTTTGTTACTGATTCCATATCTGTGTTCCCAAGTAGAAAAGCTTGTCATATGCAAAGTAGCCCAACATAAGGCCTGCTTGCAACCGGATCTAACCCTACTGGACCCAACGTCTGCATCTCAATGACCAAACCCGCAATTATCGTAATCGCCGCACCAACAAAGAGGCAGCAGGATCCGATTCCGATTCTGCACCCCCCCTCCGCCAACAACTTCTCGTCCGCCGCTAAGGACGACATGACGGTGGAGGAGTGCGAGACTATGATCCAAAGAAGCCTTAGAAGTAATTCCGCATAACTTTTTCAGATTCTTACACCCTGTTCTTTAGTGGAATTTAAGTAGCGAAAGGTTATGTGGATCGTGTTCCCGAGTTATTTTTTGGAATGATTCGGAAAGAATGGATAGGATTTCGGAGGATTAACTTCTCTCCTAATCTTCCTCCCAAATTGGAGTGATTTGGAGAGAAGAGAATCACTGATGAAGATAAATTGAACGTATTCCCAATATACCCTTACACCCTTTATAGCGATTTCTTCAAACATACAACACGCATCAGGCGAAGTCTCTTCCACCTCTGTATACACAAGTAACGATTGCCTGCAAGTCTCTGCTGCTATCAGGTTTCACCTTCTTCTCCTTATCACCCCAATTTTCTCAATTTTTTTCTGCTTCATTGCTGCCATTAGTCGAGTATATTATGCTCACGTTTTTTCTTTTTTTGCTTCAAACAATTTTTCTGCTTCAACAAGTTTATCTGTGAACCAGTTTATCTGTTTGCTTCTTCCTCAATTTTTTACTGTTATGTTTACATACTCCTGTGAATGTTTTTATCCTCATGGGCTGACTGCAGAGTGGGTTTCAATCGGTCATCATTTTTATTTGATAAAATTAAAAAGAATTATGGGTCCATGGGATTTTTACATCGTCAAGTAACTTTCAGTTTGCAATGTTTGGTAAACAATTTTCAATCTAGCATCTTTTCGTTGAAACTTCAAGCAATTTGCAACTTTAGGGGCCACAAATTTGTGGTGGGCATTAATTTAATCCACATCTTTACTGTAAACAGTAATTGAAATTCCAATTCATCAAAAAATATTGTCTTAACAGGGGCATTTTAGGCATAATATTTACTTTTGTTAAATTGATTCTCCTTTGGTATTTAACAGGGGCATTTTAGGCATAATATTTACTTTTATTGAATTGATTTTCCTTTGGTATTTAACAGGGGCATTTTAAGCATAATATTTACTTTTATTGAATTTATTTTCCTTTGGTATTTAACAGGGGCATTTTAGGCATAATATTTACTTTTCGAATATATTATTTTTATAAAAAGCATTACTATATATTATGTTATGTGTATATTAATTAAGAGCAATGTGTTTGCACTTGGAGATAATCTAACTTCTCGATGTAACTACCCTTCACCACCATCAAAGAAACTTCATTTTCTTGATTGCACCGTTGCTACTAATAAAATAGAAATCAATAGGAAACAGTGGTTTTCTACTCTTTATTTATAGACACTCATAGAACTTATGTTTGTTGAGTTGTATTTTTGGATATGTATATATATATATGTTTGATACTGACTAATTCTTTTCTTTAGTTGTTTGATTGTGTGACTTGCAGATAAGATTCATGGGAAAATGGGAGAAGGTGAGTATAATTTATGAACAAATTACATCTAATTGTTTGTAATATATGATTATATTGACTAATCTGATTGATTAATGTATCATTCAGGTACATTTGGGCAAGTACTGGAATGTTGGGACAAGGAAAGAAAGGAAATGTTGGCAATGATCTCGAGGGAAGACCCCAAGAGGTTATTATTATTATTATTATTATTTAATAAAAATGCTTTTTGTGGGTTTTGATGAATTAATATTATATATATATATATATATATTTATAGGTGAGGGAGGTTATTGGTACTGAAGATGATAGTGAGGTGAGGAGATATAAGGCAAAAATGGAAGAACGTGCAAGGAGGGAAGAAGACCTCTTCGCCCGTGCTCCTCTTACAAGTAAGGAAAAGAAGAAGCTAAAACAGATGCACAACTCAAGAAATGGGTGAGTTGATTTGGTAATTATTGCAGGTGCGAATGCTGGTGTGCTTTTAGTTGATGGACCTGGACAGAAAGCTTTGGACAATATCAATCTCTTCTCAGTTATCACCATCATCTCTTTTATCTTGTGATCCCTTTTGTCTTCTTATTAGAAGGCTTCAAGCTTACTCCAGAGTACCTGCAGTCTAGTGTGAGTATATAATATAATATATAGACCTCAATTGCTGTATAATATTTTAAACTGTGATATTTATATGAATTTTATGAACAAGGGATTGTTGTAATTTTTTTAAATTGTTAGGCAAGTCAAAGGTGTTAATGTGAGAGAGCTATGTGTGAGGTCTGTTCTAGTTGGTGTATGCTTTCATAGTTATCAACAAGGTGTTAAAGTAAAAGTATGTATGTGGAGAGGAGTGACAGGTATTGTATTTGATACTACAAATGGTAAATCCAGTGACACCAGTGTACGTCCTATGTTATCTTCTTCCAGACACTAGTGTCTCCCATCAAGTCACTTGGTAAAATTTATAAATATGGATACTGCTTATAAAATACAACTTGCATTTGCTACTGGCTACTATTTATCTTACCTTCATCATATTTAATTTCAGGAACTGGTTTGGCACTTGCTTTCTAGAAAAGAGGATAAAGCCAAACCCAAAACAAAAGGCTGCTTGACTGGTAATTAACAAATTACCTTTCTAGAAACTTTGTGTTTGTTTTATTGTTCAGATTATTTCACCTATTTACCTTTCTGTTTTTTTCCTCATATTTTATTTGTTTTTAGCTAATTAACAACTTACCCTTTATTTAGGAACTTCTTGTTTGTTTTAATGTTCCGATTATTTCAGAAGTCTATATTTGGGTAAGCTAATGAAGTAGAACTGAAGTTCAATAATAAGAGAAACAATAAAGATTTAGATCATTTCATTATAATCCTTAACCAAGAAATCAGAATACTATCACAATAGGTTTGCTATGATTTTAATAAATGCAGATCAAGATGTCATGCAGAGCACCAAACAAGCCTGGTTGCAGGTTTCTTTTTTCTAGAAAGAAGGGTAAAATGTTCATATTCAGATCATTCATACAGTCCCAAAAAGAAACAGTCATTATTAGTTTGATTATATAGTACTTTTAGGGATGTTTTTTTCTAGTCCAAATAAACAAGAAAGCGTTTGTATAAGACTAAATCACTAAATGACCAATTTACCCTTACATTTTTTTTTGTAGGATAGAAGCACAGTAGTTTCTTTAAGAAAAAGGTTAAAGTTATTCTGTGATTTTCAGGTGAAATTTTACTCTTTACTTTACTTTGTTACTCAAAATACCAATATATTAACATCACATCATGTGGTCTCTCCTCTGCAATGAATCAGCTCCTAGGAATCAGCATGACTCATCCATGTGGTCTCTCCTCCACAATGAATCAGCTCCCTACTGAAGCAATAGCTTTAGCTGCTGCTTCCCACATCAAGAGAGAATTACAAATAACTCCCTGGAATTTCAGCAGCAACTTTGTTGTACAAATCAGGTAAAAAAACCAAAAAGGGACTTAATACTTAACTGGATATTATTTATTGATTTGAAGTCTTAACTGGATACAGATACCTTACTTGTTGTGCCTTTGAAGGGGTATGATTCTCATCACATCACTGAGGAACATCTAGGTGGTAAAATAATATCACGTTCTGTTCTTCTTTGTGCCTTTGAAGGGGTATGATTCTCATCTCATCTTCATCTTTATCTTCGTCTATGAGGGCAAATTTGTAAAAAGTGTTTAATGTTTAATTACAGATACCTTACTTGTTGTGTGCACTTGGGATGGACATCTTTTGACCTTTTTACTCAACACAAGAACATGGAAATTAACAGACAGGAAAAAGGTGTCACTTGGGAAAAAAATTAAGTATGTTGAAGCTCGTGAGTGAATTTTCTGTAAAAAATCTAAGTATTATATAATACAATTTTATCTAAATTCTTTGAATTATAAGAATAAATAGTAATTAAAAAATTATAATATATGTTTTCACAGGCTGCAAGAGATACTGGAGCCCTTAGAGAACCTAAGGACAAACTGGAGAAGTGAGTTGAAGAGCTGACATGGAGATTAGACTTTGAATATCTCCCATTTGAGGGTATATATTTTTTTATATTTCTTGTATCTAATTAGTTTGTAAATTTTTGTTACAACTATTGATTTGTTTTATCTTTCCATGGAACGATTATTTGTATGACTTTAAATTTTATACAATGGATTGTATTTTTTGTATATGATATTTTATTTTCTATTATGAGATATTAAATTTAAATTTAATTTGAAAATTAGTAAATCTATAAATAATATTTTTTTAAAACATTTAAAATTATGATACGCAAAAATGTGTGTCATCTTCATTTATGACATGGCCTTTCTTGACAGGGGATTTCTTGATACGTATTGCGTGTCATTAACACGCGCGTCGTAAGGTTATGACACACGAATGCGTGTCGTCTTCCTTTATGACAGGGCCTTCCTTGATACGCATTGCGTGTCATAAACGCGCGTCATAATTACGCGTCGTAAATGCGCGTCGTCTATAGACGACGCGCAAAAGCGTGTCGTCTCTCTTTATGACGTGACCTTCCTTGACGCGCATTTGCGCGTCGTCTGAGCCTTTTATGACGCGCGATGTGCGTCGTAAAAGGCTGTTTTTCTAGTAGTGCCGCCAAAACAGGTTAACTCAATCAGTCAGGTGCTTCAATTATTACATATGTACTTGTTCGGTCCAGTCAACGTCCTAAGCATCAACAGAAGTTCGTACTGTTTGGTTGTGATTGATGATTTTTCTCGTTTTACGTGGGTTTTCTTCTTATCCAACAAAGTTGGGGTTGCAGATTTGATAAAGAAGTTCATAGTGTTGATTGAGAACCAAACCAATAATTGGGTGAAGGTGCTTCGTACCGACAACGGAACAGAGTTCAAGAATTCTATTCTAGATTATTTTTGCACAGAAAAAGGGATTATGCGTCAATACAACTCCGTTTACACACCTCAACAAAATGGTGTTGCTGAAAAGAGAAATAGAACTTTAAAAGACGCTGCAAGGACGATGTCGTGTGACTCCAAGTTACCCATCTTCTTTTGGGCTGAGGCGATTAACACTACTTGCTACATTCATAATCAAACCCACAAGGCCAAGAATCTGAATCCAAAGGGAAAGAAGGGAATGTCGGCCAAGAAGCCCGATCCAAGAGATGCTCCGGTGAAACAAAGACCGGTTAGGTCAAAGTTATCTCAATAGATGACATCAAGATCAAAAGAAATCACTGAGCCATCCATCATATCAAAAAAGAAATGGGTTAAACCCGATTATAAATGGTTTCTAAAAGCTCACTCTCCCAAATCTCCTAATGCTTCTAATATTTCTACATCTTCTGTTTGTGATAAGAAGGATATGTCATGGGAGAGAGTACCGTGCAAGGATGACAAAGGTCAACCTAGTTTCAAAATGGACTGGTTTCCAAAGGCCAACTGATCCCACTATGTTTTGAAGAAGATATGGAGGCATATCATCATACTTCGGCTTTTTGGTAGTGGCTGTCCAGGCACATGATATGGAGGCATCTCTCAACTGCACAACACTCAGACCACTGTTTGAGAGTATGTGTCCTTGCGGGAAGGGAAGAAAGGAAGTGATCACTCATGGGGTTAGTGCTTAATGACATGAAGAATTTTCAAATCTGTTCTGAGATTATGCGTGCTGTTCTCAGACCTTTTAGATGCAAATTCAACTGATGAATTATGGTTTGCGTTTTCTTCTCTATACTCCTAAGTTTATCTTACTCTGGTTCGTTTTAAAGACACTTTTTCATTTTCGTAATAGTTTTTCGTTAGTAATTATTATTGGGAAGTGATATCAAGAAAGTGATAACGGGCAGTCTAAAACATATGTAAAGGACTGAATCTGAATTATCTAGGCTCTGTGATCAATGGTTTATACGTTACTCTAGCACCTGGTTTCCGGTATGTGAATTTTATTTGAGCATTTCCCTATTTTAGCCTTGGACTCGGCGAGTCATAAGGTCCGACTCGCCGAGTAGGGACGAGACTCAGGACATGTTTAAGTTGGCGACTCGGCGAGTCCATATCCCAGACTCGGCGAGTCACCGCTGCTGGATGAAACCCTAAATTCCAAGGGTTTGCACCCTATTTAAACCCTCATTCCGCCCCAAACTCGTCCCCATTCACCCCCAGAACTCCCAACATCGTTTTTCCCTTACTTCCTTGAGAGATTGAAGTGTTTTTGGAGTGTTCTTGAAGATTTTGAGGAGAAAGAAGAGTAGATCAAGAAGAGGAGAAGGAGACCAGGCATCTTTGTGTCATCTCAACGTTTTCCTTGAGGTATAGCTCGTTTCCCCTCTGTTTTCAAGCTTGTAATCTCTTTTAGCTTCATAGGAGTCCTTCTTGGGCTCTTCCCCAAGCTTGTTTGTGCTTTGTGGGTTGTAATAAGTTGTTAGCCTTTAGATCTAGGCATGATTTAGTCCCTGGAGCTTGGATCTAATGCCTTTATGGGGTCATATTGCATGAAAGCCCTAGATCTACCTCTTTTGGTGCACTTTGAGCCTTAAAATCCATATTGGTGAATATCTACATGTAAAGTTGGAAACTTTACGTGTGATTTGTGTCCTAGAAGCCCAGATCTGTGAATGGTATGGACTGGAATTAAGCAAATCGGTGTATTTGATGGATGCATGGCTGCGACTCGGCGAGTCGTATATGTGACTCGACGAGTCTGGTCGCGAGTCACTGAATTGGTCCCTTCATGACGTGTCGAGTTGAGCCGTGAGTCACAGGGGGTGACTCGGTGAGTTGGGAGCTGAACTCACCCATGTTAGGACTCGGCGAGTCAATGCCCTGACTCGGCGAGTCCAAGGCAATCTTCATAGATCAAGAACAGACTCGGCAAGTTGTTCATACAACTCGGCGAGTCTTAGCATATGTGTTCTTCGGATGAAGATGAACACGACGAGTTGTTCATACAACTCGGCGAGTAGGATGAAGGAGTTGAATGTCAGTTTAGAAGATGAACTCGTCGAGTCATAGCCCAACTCGACGAGTAGAATCAGGGACCCAAGACAATAGTCTGCCAGGGACTCGGCGAGTGGAGATCCACTCGGCGAGTTGGGTCAACTAAAAGTTGACTTCGTATTGACTTAGGGCTAGACCAGGGGTAAAATGGTCTTTTTACCCAAAGGACAGTTAGCAGTGTATGATTAAGTATATTGTGGGAATTACAGCTGGGGAGTTTCCGGAGCAGCAGCAGCAGTAGTAGGTGATCAATTCCCACACAGACCAGCAGCTATTTCGAGGTGAGTTTCCTTCCAGTAGTAACGGGTCTAAGGCACCAAGGCCGGCCCGTATGGACGAGACATTAGTATTAGAGTGTGGGCCGAGCCCGTATCTCTTAGTTGAGTTGATTATGATATATGCCAGTATGATAGAATTTTTTTACACTTGTTGTCTGTGCGATACTTGTATGATATGAGTTGGCGGTTGAGTGTGGGCGAGGCCCGTATCTCTCCGAGAATGGAGTGTGGGCTAGGCCCGTATCTCCCAGATAGCGAAGTGTGGGTGGGGCCTATATCTTCACGAGTGTGGGCGGGGCCCGTATCTCTCAGAAAGCGAAGTGTGGGCGGGGCCCGTATCTTCACGAGTGTGGGCGTGGCCCGTATCTATTAATTGCATGTTGTTTGTTAAATGCTTGCATGGTATGGGGTATTATGGGGGAGCTCACTAAGCTTTGTGCTTACGGTTTAAGTTTTGGTTTCAGGTACCTCCTCAGCTAGGGGAAAGGAGCCGGCGCGGTAGCAGCATGTCACACACACACTCTTCGGGTTCCGCATTTACGAGATTCACTGGGATTGTACTCTGATATTTGATGGGATGTATGGTTTGACTTTTTAAAACATGGTTTGCGATGTGTTATGGTGTGATCAAACAATGTTTTTATTTATTAATGTTTTCTAAAGTAATATTTTAAAAATGAAATTTTCGGACATGAAAAATGGGTCGTTACAGTTACTTTTCTAGGAAAATGTATTTTTGTGTCTTGGACCGTAAACCCATTCACGGCTCATGTTCACCAAGCCCATGTTCCCTATAAATATAGATGTAAGGGGTGAGGAGTGGAGTGATGAGAAAAATAATACAGGAGCTTAAGTGTGTGCATTTGAAGGTGTTATAGAGAGAGAGAGAGAGAGAGAGAGAGAGAGAGAGAGAGAGAGAAAAGAGAGTGTGTGTGAATCTTGTATCTGGATCTTCATTCATATCAATACATACAAGATTCATCATCTTCTTCTTCTCCTTCTCTTCTATTAGATCTGGCATCATCCGTTTGATCAGGATTTAGCACCATCAAATGGATCTGATTGATACACAAGCAGATTGGGGAATTACAATTGGTATCAATATAGAGGAGCTTAAGTGTGTGATGGTAGGCACAAAGGATTTGAAAGTGTGGATTTAGTTAGGATTGTTTGGACTGACCATACGACGCTTAGGTAGATTGAGCAGTGAGATAAACACGGGAACCTACAGGATACACTAAATTAATACGCATCTAGAACAGTGGTTCGAATTTTCCTTGATGTACGGACTTATGCCCTTAATTTTGGTTTTGATAGGGCGACTGGGGGGTTCTGATAAAGTAGGTCTATAGGAAATTATTTTCTTGCTTTCTATCTGTCAGTCATATGTTGCTACCTCTATGTGATTGGAAGAGATCCGACCTGGAATGCAACATATGCAACTCTAATTCTACGCACCTCCTTATCTCTGGAATTCTTTCTATCTTTTA